AAAATATTAAAATAAAAAAGGGGGAAATGTTGGCATAGTTTGCCTGAGTTTGACCACCTGAGTTTGATGAGGGAACAGATCTCTTTGAGTCTTTTCCTCATGAAAAGTTATCATGCACTTGCTCTTCTTCAGATGGAAAGAAACTGAAAAGCTATTCTTGGTCACTTGGTTATATGGGCTTCAGGACTGGCAAAATTTACTGTATAACATGCCCAAGCCAAGAAATCAAGATAGATTCAGTCCCTGCCAGAACACTTACTGGTTCATCTCCTAAATGGAACTGTTGACTTTTGTTGTCCGTGGCCTACTGTTAAATTAAACTAGGATCCAAGAAATACACCAGTACCTCTGTCATATCTACTAGTGAAAATCATTCTCATGCAGACATCTTGTCTTCACACTTAAGTATCTTTCAATGACTAAAGAATATGTGATATTCAGTGTCCCTAGAGATGGACACATCACCAGTAACAAGTATATATTTAAAAATCTGAAGAAAGCAAGGCTGTTACAAATAAATCTAGATTAAGAAAGGAATGATATGTGCAGGGAGGTGCATTTGATGCATGTAGGGAGGTGCATTTGAAGTGCTTCTACACAAATGCACGCAGTATGAGGAATAAAATGGATGAGCTAGAAGTCTTGGCCCAGTCCCACAGCTACAACATCACTGGCATAAGCAAAACCTGGTGGGATGAGTCCTGTGTCTGGTGTGTTGCAATAGATGGTTACAGGCTCCTCAGGAGGGACAGACAGCATAGGCGAGGTTGGTGGGGGGGGGGGGGGGGGGGGGGGCAATGTATGTGAAAATTATGGAGAAGATGATCCTTGAAGTTAATGAAGTGCACCTGGGGGACAGTGCGGTCATTGGTCCCAGCCAACATGGGTTCATGAGGGGTAGGTCCTGCCTAACAAATTTGATTTCCTTTTATGATAAGATCACCCATCTAGTCAATCAAGGGAAACCAGCTGATGTGATCTTTTTGGACCTCAGCAAAGCTTTTGACATGGTTTCCCATAGGATCCTACTGGACAAAATGTCCAGCATACAGCTAAACAAAAACATCATATGATGGGTAAGCAATTGGCTGACAGGCAGGGCTCAAAATGTTGTGGTAAATGGGGCCGCATCTGGCTGGTGGATGGTCACTAGTGGGGTCCCTCAAGGCTCCATTTTAGGGCCAGTCCTTTTCAATGTTTTTATAAATGGTTTGGATGTAGGACTAGAAGGTGTTTTGAGCAAATTTGCCCATGACATCAAACTTGGAGGAGTTGTAGACTCGGCTGTGGGTGGAAAGGCCTTGCAGAGAGGTCTGGACAGATTGGAGAGCTGGGTGATCACCAACCTCAGGAAGTTTAACAAAAGCAAGTGCCGGGTCCTGCACCTGGGATGGGGAAACCCTGGCTTTACGTACAGACTGGGTGATGAGACACTGGAGAGCAGCCCCGCAGAGAGGGATCTGGGGGTTGTGGTTGACAGCAAGTTGAATATGAGCCAGCAGTGTGCCCTGGCAGCCAGGAGGGCGAACCATATCCTGGGGTGCATCAAGCACGGCATTGCTAGTTGGTTGAGGGAGGTGATTGTCCCGCTCTACTCTGCGCTGGTGTGGCCTCACCTCAAGTACTGTGTGCAGTTCTGGGCACCACAGTACAAAAAGGACATGAAACTGTTGGAGAGTGTCCAGAGGAGGGCGACAAAGATGGTGAAGGGCCTAGAGGGGAAGACATAATGAGGAGCAGCTGGGGTCACTTGGCCTGTTCAGCCTGGAGAAGAGGAGGCTGAAGGGGGACCTCATTGCGGTCTAAAACTTCCTCACGAGGGGGAGTGAGGAGGCAGGTGACCTATTCTTTGTAAACACCAGTGATAGGACCCGCGGGAATGGTGTTAAGCTGAGGCAGGGGAGGTTCAGGCTGGACATCAGGAAGAGGTTCTTCACCAAGAGCGTGTTTGCACACTGGAACAGGGTCCCCAGGGACGTAGTCACTGCACCAAGCCTATCAGAGTTTAAGAAGTGGTTGGACTGTGCACTTAGTCACATGGTCTAAACTTTTGGGTAGGCCTGTGTGGTGCCAGGAGTTGGACTTGATGATCTTTATGAGTCCCTTCCAACTCAGGATATTCTATGATTCTATGATTCTACGATTCTATGATGTGATGAGAGGTATTGGGTGAAGAGCTTGAACAGGAAAATAAATAAGGAGATTGGTAGTATCAGTTGTAAAATATTCATTTATTCTAAGAAAGAATTAATTGTGTATTATTCATTAACTTTTATCAAAACAACAAACAAACAAAACAAACAAACAAAACACCACTTGCACAGAAGCCCACTTCATCTGTGAAAATGGTTTGTTTAATTTATGAGACATTTGTGAAGCATATTATCACTCTGGAATTATAATGCTCACAAACACCACCTGTTGAGGAAAGTATCTGTTAATATTTCCTAATTTCAAGGGGAGAAATAAAGACTAAGGAGGTTTGTATCAGAATGGAGAATAAAACCAAGCTTTTCTCCTTCCTTCCTTCCTTCCTTCCTTCCTTCCTTCCTTCCTTCCTTCCTTCCTTCCTTCCTTCCTTCCTTCCTTCCTTCCTTCCTTCCTTCCTTCCTTCCTTCCTTCCTTCCTTCCTTCCTTCCTCCTTCCTTCCTTCCTTCCTTCCTTCCTTCCTTCCTTCCTTCCTTCCTTCCTTCCTTCCTTCCTTCCTTCCTTCCTTCCTTCCTTCCTTCCTTCCTTCCTTCCTTCCTTCCTTCCTTCCTTCCTTCCTTCCTTCCTTCCTTCCTTCCTTCCTTCCTTTTCTCTTTTTCTTTCTTTTTTTGTCTCTCTCTCTGGCATTAGCCCATTGAATGAAGATGTCCTTGCTTCTACAGAAAATATAGAATGCTAAAATAGATCCAGAGAACTTGCTGATGACAGCTCAAAGAAAAAAAATATACCAATGCTGTAAGCAGTAATTATACACCCAGTGTTTTCCATATTTTGCTTTGCTCATAAATATTGATCCAATCCCATGAGTGTATGTAATGTTTCAATAATCTGTGAAGTCTATTTTTATTTTCTTGATTTATGAGAAAAGTTTGGGATCTTGGCAACTTGGGAACTCTTTGTTGGAACTTTTATTCTGTTTTTCCTTTTTGTTGGAACTTTTCTTTGTTTATCCCCTCAAATAATATACTAAGGCTAACCAAATTGTTGAAAACATTTTTGAAACTCAAGAAGACAAAGGGTTAATTTAATTAAACAGATTAAATATCTGGTTATCCCTTACCGTGCATTTTAGTTAGGAATTTACAGTTGCTTTCAGTACATAAACAACTCTGATCTTGCAGTATATAGTGTATATACTGACTTTGTACTTACATAGCATATACTGACTTGGTTCAGTCTTAAGTGATCATTCAGCATATACTATGCTGAAAACTCAGATCTTCTGTCCTCTCCCAGCATTGCTAGGAATGGGTGCTGTACAGTCCACCATTCACCTCTTAATAATTCAGTATTATAGAGTGGCTGATTTAGCTGAGTATATTCTAATCAAAGTTAGCATAAAAATAACTGTCTTTTGAGTTAGATGTCCCCAAGTTTTGAAAGTTTTGTTTTTGTTATTGCTTTTTTTTTTTTGGGGGGGGGGGGGGGTGGTGGTGGTGGTGGTAAATGTTGGAACAAATAATATCAAATAATATCCCATATTGGTTCTCTAATTAAGATATGCATATGTTGGCTCCAAAGGCCCCTAATTACATCTGCGTTAGGGATGGTCTTAGAGAGAAGATAGTTATTTACAGTTGCTGCAAAAACAGAAGAGGAACTTAATCTGAAGCATAAGGAAAACTCAGAAGAGTAGCCCTGGACCACCATTTATGTTGCAAATTATTTCCTGGAGATACTACTGTAAGTGTGCGTTGTCCCATATATTTTACTACAAAGTGATAGATGTTTATATTTTGGATGTAGCTTTTCAACTATTGGCTTCTACTTGATTAAATCAATTACAAAATTCCTGTAGATTTTAATACTGCAGTCTTAAGTCCCTGAATAATAGATGCTACTCCTACTGAAAATGGCTTTCAGTAGGTAGTTTATTTCATCCAAAGTTTCCTGAAATGTCCTAGGCTTCATAGGCCAAGTTCAGCCCTGTAAGCAGATTCTTAAGGCTAAGCGTAAAACAATGTCAGAAGAAGATAGGTACATAGTAAAGGTCTCCCATAGAAGTTCTTTCTTTGTGTTTGATGAAATAAGTTAGAGCAAAAAGACTGAGAATCTCACAGTATGGAGATAAAAAGGTGTGGATCTTCAGGATGTAGCATGCTAGAAGTTTATGGCAGATTGCACAAAAAGGGTGGTAGTGAACTAGATTAGAGGTATCAAAAAATAAAATTAAAAAAAAATATATATATATATGGCCACAGCCTGCCAGTGACAGAAAGAATCATCTTGAAGTTATCTGTATTTGGATGCTGTCTGGTGAGCCAGGCAGAATTTGAAGTAATGCTTCCTGTCTGGCCACTGGCAGCCTCGCAAACAGCAAGAGTTAAAAATTAACAATCTGAAGACAAGTCAAAATACACTCCCTGTCTGTAAAACAAAAAGTACTGCTTCAAACTCAGACAAATCTGGCTGCTCCCTTATCCCCCACAATCACCATCATAATTACAGCAGCTGATTTTCCTCACACCCACCTCAGTGATTTCTGGGGGTTTTGGCCAGGTTTGCATCCCCATATGATCCAGCCTACTTTTACTTATGTTTAGCGCATTGTGTAATAAGCAAAGCTTACATAAGCTAGGCACTGTGGCTCCAGCTTCAAAAACCTTCATCAAAAATAGGAGATCAGAAGCAAGATAACAACTCATGTAGTTGCTTTCCTAAGCATGGAGACCGAATTAACTGTCTTTGGGCTAAGTGCTCAGCTGTTTCAAATCTGTGTAGAATCTTTAATTCCTACTCAGTTAAGCTAATTTACACCTTGCTAAAGGTCTGGCTTCTCATCAGTGAGTATCCCAATATTGAAAACTTGAGAGTAACTAGTCAAAAAGAACGGGGATGAAATTTTGGCACATTAAAGCTAGGGGGAATTTTCTCATTACCATCAGATAAGTCCTCCTCTTACTCCAGAAAAGCCAGCTCTTCAAAGTCAAAAAAATGACACTGCAGTGAATCTCTGTTCCTATTGTGAAACTGTTCCCATTTGAACAGCTAGCAGTCTCTTCTCCAACTCATTTTGTCAGGAAAAGTTAAACAGAAATCAAGGTTTCCTCATAAAAAGTGTTTGATTATCCTATTGAACTGACACAAACTGGATTCAGCAAGCTATAGGTGTATAGAACATTTTCATACTTTAGACTATAATAGGATTAATCATGTTACTCTACTATCTTAACAGCCACGGATGGGGGTTCTATTGCAAGTAGGTATTGCAAAAATATAAAGTAGGAAAGCTTATGTGGCAGTGGATGTTATCTATGTGATATCCACAAGCCTGAATATGATGTTTTCCAAAGGTTAAGTTGATTCTACTGATATTATTTGGGGAGAAATTGCTTCTGAAGGAAAAAGGTTTTCAGTTGTTGTCTAAGTCTGTGATCGTTGTTACATTGATGTAGATGCAAAATTATGCTGCTGAAGTTAATAGAGCTATTCCAAAATTATGCTGTAGTAGAGATCAGTCTCTGGTTTTATATTTTAAAACATCTGAGCTCTTATAAAGCTAGTATTCTATACTTTATGCAAAATAAAATAACAAAGTCATTGCTAGTAAAGAAGTTAATGAAGTCCAAAAAAAGGCTGACATACAACCCAGGAAGTTTCTGTATTTAAGGATTTATTTTTTTTCAGTGTCTCTGCACCTTCAAGTTTGTGTGTGTGTGTGTGTGTGTGTGTTTGTTTTGTTGTTGTTTGGTTGGTTTTGACTATTTGGTTTTGACTTGTTTTTGTTGTATTTAGTTTTGATTTTACAATCTGATCTTTAGCATAATGGGAAAGACACAAAGCCTTGGTTGGAAATCTCCCCCTAGCCTGTTGCAATATTTACAAAGCTGTACTTTTTAAACACGCTGCAAGATGGTCTTAGTAAAACAAAAGACGCTATAATTTATTGTTCCAAGATTATTGATTCAATAAATTAACAATAATTTCCATGGAGAGTAGGAGCCTGGCACTGTAAAAGTTTATTTATCTGAGCTTTAACTAGCATTGATTAGAGTATTCAAATTGTCCCAGTACTATATAATTGCTCTTTATAGGTAGAATGCCCTCTGCTGTGCAGGAGACAGTAAAATAAACATTCAGCCAGAAGTGACAATGGCTCTTTTAAAAGCTAGGATTTTTATTTTATTTTATTTTTTAAGAGGGAAGAAAGAGTTTGTGTAATGCTTTAAAAACACAGCTAGCTTTGGCTGAAGTCACTTGTTACATTGCCAGGACAGACATGCACGACGCTGCTATTGTTCTGAGAGGTGCAAGACATAAATATACTAGTTATATCCTTATATTTGACTGTATCCAAATGAGAAAGCCTTTTTCTGTCATTGTTTTAAAGTGCTATGTTGCAATGAAGTGCCAGGTGGAAATTTTTGTTGCACGTTTTTTTTCCTTTCTCTCTTTTGTTTCTGAAGTGCCCACTGAACCTGTTCAAGGTAACTATGAAGCTATTGTAAATATGTTAATTATTCAAGCAAAACAAGTCATACTTCCCATTCATGTTCACCATGCTGGGTTGCTCAGAAAGGAGTATTTTGCCACCAGGGAGAACAACAGCTGATTCAGTCCACAAGCAATTGCATTCCCTTTATGTAGAATACTTAGGACAGTTACATTTTTTAGACTTAGATTTATGACAGGTCTATCTTCTGATATGTATGATAACCCCGCTTTTATTTTACAGCTCTGTTGATGTAAAAGATTAACAGTACCTTTTCCCTCTCTTGGTTTTAATAAAACAACAAACTGCTAGAAATGTCACTTAGAACCACAAGTTTGCAATAATTAAAACAAATTATGCATCTTAGTAACCCAAGGTGGATGATTAACGCAGGCTTTACACGATTGTTTGTGTTAAATTGTTTCTCCAAATGCAATTCAGGAATTTGAAGTTGTCAGATTAACTGCTGTATTTACTGGTCTGTTTGATTAGGTGAGCATAGTTTTATATTCCCTCTTGGAGACCTAAATAGCAACCATTTCCTACCAAAACAGCACACAAAACAAAGGCCCCATTCAGAGGACTATTCAGAGTGGGCAATGCTCTATAGCCCTTTGTATCCTGGAACAACATGGTTACTGAAGTGCCTCTAAAAGGTACAACAATTTTTTTAAAAGATAATAATAATGACCATTATAACAGTAGTTGGAATATTACATTTTAGTCTAAAGGTAAATACCTTCTATCATAAATTAATGGATTAATTTCATTACTAAGCTTAAAGACATCTCTCAGAGGTCTTTATGATTATTATAGTAAAATAGGGTTTAACAAATGCCGTTAAAAGGATGGCTAATATTCATTTGAAACTTGAATTCATGCTGCCAGAGTTTGTGTCCACTCTGAAGTCTTTTCATGAACATTCATGGAGTTGAATTTTAATAAGCATTCATAGGAAATGAATCCTAGGCTTGGATGTGTGAATTCTTATCTGAAGTGAATTTTGATTTCTTCCTTTTTGCACCTTTTGCACCAGAAACTTGGTCATAAAAGCCAATCAGGGAATGGAAATGATACTGTGTGACTTACCTCCCCACCATCATCTTAGACAACAAGTGCATAGTAAGCACAGCTTGAACTTTGATCATCACAGTTCAAACATCAAGATAAATGAAGTGTTTACAGTAGATTTTGATGAAAAATGTATAGTACTTTTCTATGTCCAGAAGAAATACTACACATTTTTCTCCTGGCCTGATGATTTTTATATCTTCTCAAGAGCAACTTTGCTGGGATAGTGGAAAAATACTGAAATATTGCTAATAACTTCTTGGTATTTCTGGGGAAAGCCAACCCAATTGCCACATCATCCCTGAGAAGGGAGGGAAACAGGAGGGAACAACATCCTTCATCATATCTTGATGCAACTTCTTTTTTTCCTTTTGAAGTGTAACTTTTGGTAAGAATAACTACAAGCAGCAGTGGAGGTAGGATGGCTCTGCCTGTCAGCATCATGTTCTAACGGCCAGTAATGTGGCTGGAGGAAAGCCAGCTCTGTATGGAAAGAGTTTAGTAAGGGAACACTTACATGTAATTCTGCTTGATTGCCTTAAGAAACAGAAGGTCCAAACTGTTAGGCTCATTGCTGGCTTTACACTCTGCAGAAAGGACAGAGGCGTCGGTTTTTGGAAGAGGGGACATGGTTTCTCCAGAGCAGGAAGTTTCTGAGTAAGAAACCATTGGAAGCTGAGTATTATGGAGAAATATCCCTTTCCTGCTCTATTTTTACACTCTTTCCCAGGCATCCACTTCTGGCCACAGTTGGAAGCAGGATTGTGAGCCAGATGGTCTGACCTACTGCATTTTTTTTTTGCTAGCTTTTTCTTGGGAATATTCTTTCTAGAGAAACATGGTCCCTTTGTCATTCATGTAGTAATATGTAGAGTAAGACAACACATATAACATGGAATTTAGGGAGATCAAAAAATATCTGACTTCCTGATGCTTTCTTGTGCAGGTTTGAAGGAGTCAAACAACGTGTGGGATGAATGCCAGTGAAATTCAGAGAGGTTATTGTGGCTTTCCAGCTCGGGAAGCTATAAAGTCTTCAGCAGCACTGAATCCAAAGCAGTCTTGGTGAGGAGATTTGGCTACTGCTTTTTCCTCACCCTCATGGAGAGATAGATGATTCTGTGCTTCGCTAGCATGAGCAATGTACCTCTGGGAACTTTCTGTGGGCACTGGGTTCTGGGTCGCTAAAACTATTTTAAAGCAATGAACTACTGGAAAAATCTAATTAATGTGTTTCCAGCTATGGGGCACATGCTTCTTCTCCATAGATGTTTGATCAAGATCTTCAAGATATGCCTCTGAGGTGTGTTGTTTCCCTTCTAGAATCCCAGGTAAACTATGATGGATGGCTCTCAAATATGGGCATACTGCTCCCCAGCCTGTCTCCCAGTCATTAGTGGCAAAGGGGACACAGCTGCGATGCTGGCTGCATCTCTACACAAGGAGTGAGGCAAGGATGGTGTAACTAGAAGTAGTGGTAAAAGCTGGGAAACTGCTTGCTGGAGAATATCCATACGGCTCACAAAAATGCCCTGGATGCTGGAGGAAATAAGGAAATAGAGAATCTCTTATGCTGTAGTCTGTAGTGGCTTGATTAGGCACAGTGTTGCTCTGATAGTCTTAAGGACTAGATGGCTAATTACAACTGCAGAAACAAAAAGAGGAGCATTCTTCAGCAAGTAGGGATGTTAGATTCCGGGGGGGGGGAGGGGGGTGGAACAGGAAAACTTTTCATTAAATTTATTAAAATTCAGTTAGGAATTTACAGTTCGCAAGAGTTCACACTCCTAATGAATAAATGAGTATATTTCAGTTGATGGTGAATTATTTCTCCTCCTTTTCTGCAGTGCTCAGAGGAAGCTGCTTGTACCAGCCACATACAGAAAAGCACCCTGGGAATCTGGATTGTGATTTTAGTTTGAAGGAAATATGGATCACAGGAAACTGCTCTCACACACAGAGATCATAATTGTACAAAGTTACAGTGTATTCCTGATGACTTTGGTAGCTCCAAGGGATTTCACTGACTTCAGAAAATCCGAATGATACAAGTTCCAAGTGCCCCATCCAGATGAACTTTATACTGCTGTCACTATTCTCATAAGAGGCCTTTGGGAGCTACTCTTGATCCTGGAACAAGAGGCAGAACTGCTCTGGTTTGGCTTGTTCCCCTTCCAGAAGACCCTGCTGGTAAACAGAGTTCCCAGTGTCAGTGGGATGTTGTTTAACAAACTGAGACGGCTATGTTCTAGTCCACTACAGGATCAACAGTGAAATCTTGCTGGCCTGTATACATCTACCTTGATGGCTTAACACCTTTAAGGCATGACTTGAAGTGAGGTGTATAAGCCCACAGTTGCAATCCCAACCAAATCTTTCTCCACTGTAGTGATACCTTCTGCTATTTACATTTAAATTCCAAGTAAAATTCTCGAGACCAATTGTGTTATTAGAAGTGCTTCAAGTTGAGCAGCTGAACATCACTTTTTCAGGAAAGCCTGGTTTGGTCTTCAGAGGGACCCAGCCTCTTAGGTGTTCTCAGGGTCAGATCCTTGCTATATAACCACTCACTGTGTCCTTGGGCTTCTTGCAAAGTATTCCTAAGCTTGTCTGCTTGTCTTTAGAGATGACCTTCACCCACTTTTTTCTTTCTTTTTTTTTTTTTTTCATATTAACAATCTACTGATTAGTACATTTGTTTCCACTTCCTTTCGACAGTTAAAATGTCCTCTTCCTCAACTGACCATTACATGTAAAACATGGTCTCTTAGTAGGGACCGGATCCTGACTTTCTTCTCTGTTAAATAACTGCCCAGTTACAAAGACATCAACTCACTGAAGATGTTTTTTTTTTTTTTTGCCAGAACAAAACAAATCTTGTATTCCCAAGGCACTCAATTTCTGAAGGGTATTCCAGAACAGCAGCCACCTCATAATAAAGCACTCAAATGCATTTTTCAAAAACTAGTAAAAAAGCTCTGTATATATGAAGCATAATTGCACAGCCAAGGAGGATTACGCTATTTTGATTTTATTAGCTGACTTTGTTTTAGATTGAAGTATCCAAAGATGACATAAGGACTTTTGACCAAAAATAAACAAACAAAAACACAAAATCTAAAAAATGAAGGGCTTTCTATTGAAGTTTTTCCTGCTTTCCAGTGGCGTTCATTTCTTTCACAGTAGCACAAATCTCCAAAAGGACCAAACACCACAAAAGATGTCAGTCTTTAGGTCATGGATGACAAGTATCTTTTCAGTACTGAAAGGACAGGTGTTTTGAAATGATACCTATTCTTGAAACTGAATTCTCAGTGAGACCCACTGATGTTAGGCACTCAGCTTCTGCTGCTGAATGTCATTGTATTTTGGAAGCTAATTTCCTTTGAAAATCCTAGCACAAAGGAACATCAAAGAGCTATGACTTCATATCATAAAGAGCATCATATTATTGTGAAATAAAAGAAGGGAATATATAGTGAAGGGTTTTCATTTGTTTGTTTGCTAGCTTTTCTTTCAAGACTCCATTGGCAATAGAAAATTTAGGAAAAAGCGGAGACTGCAGAGTCTATTAAGAAGAGAGAATTTCAAAATATCTGTGGCTAAAAAAAAATCCAAAATGTTTTGTTTCAACAAAGTTCAGAGTTTTTAAGGAAAGAGGATGCTATTGAAAATGATGACTAGCAAAAAAAAAAAAATCAGTCTTCTAACAGAAACATTTCAGTAGAAATCTTTCAGTTAGCTAAAGCTGTGCTATCATGTTGGGGGAAGGACAGGGGACTGTGTTATTTCTGGCATCACCTAGGTCAACAATCAGCTAGAAGAGAGGATCCTACAACTGGTCCCTGTGGAACGAGTACATTCCCGGAAAGAGAAAGTACCTTGGGAGGCTTAAGAAAAGATGAGGAAGGTTTATTTTCCCTTTTCTGGTTTCCTGAAGGTTGAAAGGAAATGAGACACATCCCAAATCAAATCCTGCCCAGAATGTACAACCTGACCGCTTTATCCTGAACACTTTGTCCCAGCCTACTCCACAATGGAAAACACTTTCTTGTAGCCACATACAGCATAGAAATAACTCAGCTCTCAGTATACAGGCTGCTTTTTGCAGGACTGACATTTTAAAAAATCTAATCTTGAGATTTACAGAAAGGAATATTTTCATTGTCTTTAGGATGCCTCTACTGCCTGCAGTGAGTGATTTTTTTTCCTTTCAATTTTCATGGGATCAAAGGCAGGTCAGTACTGAGTATATGGAGATCTTGTCCAGTATTGTTGAAAGATGAAAGCATTTGATAAAGAAATCATTAAGTGTCTGTTTTTACTGAGGTATTAACATGAGTACTGTCCCTAACATGAATTTTACTGACACCAAAAAATCCTTAACTATTAATATGAGTTGTCTGGCTGGTTGTGGAAAAGAGGGGGAATTTGCTGTAGTTCACACACCTCATCTGTTGCTAGCCCCGCAACAACTCAAGTACTATTTTTCAGCATGGCTATTCTCACTTTAAGCTTGCCTAGCTCTAGAGGCAAGTAGGCAATTTGAGCTAATTCTGTAGCAAATGTATAACATGAGATGGCTAACTTAACCAAATTACTTTACAGCACAGCATGCTGAATTATAACTCTTGTTGCATGAATCCTTTACACACATTTATTTAAAATTCCAGAGTAAGTAGACCCCTCTGCACTATATTAGAGTTTGCAAGATATGTAAAATTACCTTGAATAAAGAAATGGAATCCATAACCGAGGTATCTCTAGGGTATCTAACCTTATGCTTACAAGGGCAGAATTTGTAAAGCTGCTGGAATTTCTGCAGATAACCATAAACAATGATTGTTGACTGGATTAAGACACAGCCTTGTATTCTGCTGATCTGCTACTCATGACCAAAAATGGTTTGCGATTGTGAGGGTTGTGGTATATACAGTCCTGGAGCTCGGAAGCGTTAGATTCACTGGTAATGACTGAATCAGTTAGTTAATGAGTCTGTGAGATCTGGCATTGGCATCCCTTAGTTCACAGCAGTCAGTAATATATAGACTCAGTGTGTATACATGCCGAAGCTTAATTTGCAATCCTATTTAGAGTGGAAAAAAATGCCACACTTAAAAAAAAAATGCAAACAGGGTTCTTTTCACAGTGGACAGAGAATACTGTTAAACAGAGGAAGCACAATATCCCTTTTCATAGCAAGAGATCAAATGTCTGCAGAAGAGTTTAATTTATACTTCTTCATGTGCCAGAGCTGTGTCTGAGACATTGCAGCATTTCAGTTCTTTCAATCAGGTCATAGTTTCCAGCACAGATGACTTCATCCCTTTTAAAATAGAACAAATAGAATAAATGGAATTCCACATAATCATGGTAGGAGCTGGGATTATAGGAAATTAAAACACATATTTAAAAGCAGAGGTCTGTGCGGTAAATAATCATGACACAGAGGTTGGAAAGCAGTGCTTGGTCTCTTCTCAGCAGTTAATGGGCAACTAGGGTCTTAGGCTCTGCAGCTTTCTGTAACATGGGGATGTGGGTGTATCCTAGAGGAGGATGACGAGAGTGATGGTGGATAATGTGCAGTATCACATTTTAAAAAGTTGCTCCCTTCCCAGGAGAAATATTAAAATAATGCCACTTGACTCTAAGACAGCCTGGACGAACACTGGCTGGTGTGAATCTAGCACGGGCTTTATAGCCTGTGCACTGCTGCACTGGGAGCAGTGTTTTGATTGCTTTCCCCAGTTAGGTCCTCTGTTCCCTAGCTGCTACAGAATATTTCACATCTCCCTGCCACAGCTCTGCGTTGGCAGTGGGAGAAAAGGTGTTGATGAATTCTGTCTCAAATTTCTGCATGTCTGAAGAACGCCCTTATAAAGTACCAGCATATATTATACTGATATCCCCCAAACAGAGAAGTAGCTCGCTGCAACCTGGAATACTATTACTGGAAGACAAGTGTTTGAGGTATTTATTACAGCTAGAGAAAATGAAACTAGAAGCAGATTTTTCCTTAATTATAGTATTTGCCCATCACTGCCCTCATTGTGATCCATGTTTGGCATCAAGAAAAGAGCTGTCAATACCTTCTTGTAATATGAAAAAATTGCATTTCGTATCAGACCTATTTTATTAGGCAATATACAAGCACACAGTGAAGACAGTCCTCGCCCCCAGAGGACTGTTTTGTCTACATAAGTGCATGAGAGACTCAGCTGTGCCTTTAAAGATCACTTGGGTCATGTATGTCTTATGTATGTGTATGTGTGAATACATTCACATTTGCCTAGTATAACATGCAGCCTGGACTGTAGGTCTGCATCTTCCATATTCGTATCATTTTTTCAAATCATGGCTTACTGTGGTAAAGATTATACGGACAGGCTAATTCCATTTGAGAAAGTTTTTGTTTAAAAGCAAGTAAAACTCTGAAGGGAAAGACAAATTCATCACTGGTGAGATGACTGAATGCAGTCACATGCTGTTATAATATAACTTATCCTTAGGAATTCAGGCCTCCAATAGGCCTGCCTACCAGATAAGCTACAACAAGATGAAAGCGAGTTGCATCAGATTCTTGTGCCCAGAACACGCAGTTCAGACTCTCTTTCTCCTTCATTCAACCAGATGTTATACAAGAAACAGCACTCACTCTCTTTCAAAAAAAAAAGAGTTAAACGAGGGGAAGATACACAGGTAAAAGTTTTATGCATGCCACTCTTCTAATACTGCTGAACATTTCAAAAGTATACTTTAAAGCTACTTGTGTTGGCTCAGCTTCTTTAAAAGTTTAACCTGGATTGCTTTAATCGCAGAAAACAGAACTCTCTTGCTTGATTTTGGTAAATGCAGTCTTCTACTGACATCAAAGATTAGAGCAACTGCAATGCACTAGTTTGCCTTTGTAGTTCCAAGTTGCTCAAAAGACTTTTAATGTATTCTTGTAGGTGTAACCATGTGTCACAAATATACCCGCCAACAAGAGATAAACCCTAACTCGAAAATAACTGTTAATCGATTACTGCAGAAAAACTGACAAAACCAAAGTGAATAATGCTAAAGGGTGTTAATTTGTGGATTTTTGTAGGCTTTGAAAAGCAAAATTAAGACTATATGGGATTATGGATATGTAACATAAACTGTGGGTCATGTGCCTCACTTGCATAAATCAGCATCATTACACTGAGAGCCAGGAAATCTCTGCTGCAGCCCAGCTGAGAAAGTGGCCTATGACTCTGAACACATGGTGATCAACAGCAGTTTTTGTTTGGTTTCATTTATTTGGGGGGGGGGGGGGGGAGGGGGAGGGGGCGGGGGAGGAGGGAAATGAAACTAATGGGAATTTGCTAGACTGTTACTCAATCTGTAAACGTTTTCCTTTTCTGCATGAATGCTGCTGCTGCTACTGAGTGGTGCAAACTGTGTATGAACAGTGTTTCGTGCCTGCACTGAACTCTAGACCCCCAAGCCATGGGGACCCTGGCAATGATGCTAAGAGATCATATGATCCAACAGCAAGACGATTCCAGGCAGGCAGCAGACAGTAGCCAGCACTGGCAATCAAGAGGGGCAGCATTGGCAGCTCTGTGCATTGTCCTAGCTTGTTAAATGGCCTCTCTTTCCATGCAAAAATTCAGGCAAATGCAACACATCTCTTCAGAGCTCGGCAGAATTTTTGCAGTGAAACTTCTTACTAGCTCTGTGTATATAGCCCCAGAAGAGACAAATTCACAAATCTGTCAAAAAAATGAGATTATGAAATTCAAAAAGAAACGTTTTGACATTTTTATTTGAAATGCTTTGCTTTGTTTTGTTAAATTTTGCTTACACATAACTTTAAAATAATTATCTCAACAAAATGAAGGCAGGTTTTTTTCAGGTACAATAAAATGTTTTGAATGTAAAATTAGCAGAAAAAAAATGCTTTTGGTCTGGTCAGTAGTCATAAACTTCTCAGCTAGTTTTCCTTTGCTGTACCTTTCCCTGCATGATTTTGAAATGCATTCAGAGACATTTAATGAGGAACAAATTCAGATGAAAGGCCATTAGAATATTTGTTGAGATGGGTAAAAGAAGACTCCAAAGCGCTGGCAATCTCATGAGAAAGTGGAAAGTCGGGTGAACCATACTTCTTCCTTTGGATTTGTGGTAGACTTGTTGTACAGAAAGGCAAAGGAGGAAACAAAGAAGTGAAAGTCAGAACCAAGATATACACATGTATGTGTACGTGTGCATGTGTCTTCTTTTTTAGTACTTCAGACTAGAATTGGGAAATCTCCAGCCTGCTTTTGGATTATACTTGTAAAGCTTTAGTAGCTTTTTGCTTGTAGTTGGTAGAAGAGAAAGTAGAGTTACCAGTGTGGACCACGTTAGCCATCAAAGTTAACACTGGGTATGTATGCAACTTAACGTACTATAAATGTCAGCTAACTGAAGCTCTCCCACCCGTCAGTGCTGTGAAGTGATAATGAATCCAGACAAGCTTAGATAGCTTGAACCAGCCTTTCGTTCAACAGCATCGCGAGTGAACCAAGCCTTGGCAGCCCTAGGACTACAGAGCTCTTGCCGAGGCAGGGTGAGGCCGATGGCAGGCTGTGCTGAAAGGGGTGGCTCTGGTGTCCACTTTGGCCTGATCCCATAGCTCAGGGGCTGCTCAGCCTCACAGGAGGGCTGGTGGCACCTGCCAGAGGCTGCAGGCAGCCAGGGGCTGCTGCTGTGCTGCCTTATGTTACAGTGAGGGGGCAGGTAGCTGCCTCAGGGTGGGAGCAATGAGGTCAGCCTTGCTGACTCGCTGTCGGCTTGCTGTCATGGTTTGGGGTGCTACCTACAGCCTACATGGAACCTTTCGGAGAGAGTGGTGTATTTTGAAACTTGGTCAGCTTCGTCTGGCTACAAATAGCTGTAGTAGTATCAGAGCACTTGTGCCCATTGCATGGGTTGTAGCTTATCTGGGGAGGGAGAACAGTACTTTTTTTGCGTCTGAAAGTACTACACAGTTACACCAGCTGGTATGCAGGCAGTGACCAGCCCTTGTCTAAGTAGTTGGTTTCTCAGAACAATGAAGAATCCCAGCCTCACTCAGCCACTTTTCATTTTGGTATTATTTGCCTAATTTTCAACTGCGTTGGCTATAGGTATTTTCTTCCCAGCAGAAACCAAAGCTGTGATATGAGGGGAAAAAGGTTCCTACTGTAACTTTTAGCTATCTCAAAGTGCATTGCAAACTAAAACTTTCTAACCCAGGATTTATTTGGGCCTTGATGTACTGAATAACCCTCTGGCAATACTGGCATGCGTATGACTTTTTTTCACCATCCTGTGTGAACAGG